GAACCTTTTTTAGTTTCGTAAAAATCCTTCTTTATTTAGAGTGTAGATAATAAAACAATTCTAAAGAATAAAATAACATTATGATGCAGAAACATCTAAACTGATATCTCTTACATATTTATTAACAATGTTCTAATTCTTTCAACTTTGAGTGTAATATTAAACCTGTTTTATTTTTTTATGATGTTCATTTTGTTTGATCAGAAAACTCATTACTTATTGATGAAATTAAAGATAAAGTATTGCTTACATTATTCAAATAATTAATCATGAAATTAAAAATACGAAAATAGTAATGATGCTGTATGTGTATCTTATCAGAAGCTAATCGATATGTTCTTAGACGAAAATTTATAACATTAAAATTCATTTCATATGATAATTGATATAAGCGATTATTATAGAATTGTCTATTCGATCTGAATGGAATTTTAGTTCGAAATTTACGAGTAGTTTTCAAACAAGGAAAACATAATGGTATAATAATACGTTGAGGTGGATTAAATTGAGGATATACTTGTCGAAGAAAAAAAATAATTTCTTCAAGTTGAGAAATAATTGTAGATGCTCGAAAAATTCTAATTGAGTTAGTTCCAAGCAACAACAAAACTCCATCAACTTGAGATAACAAAAATTGAATTTCAGATGTAAGTAATAAATGAAATAATGAGAGGTTTTTTTTATCATACTCTTTAAATTTTAAACCTGAAATAGATTTGATGATTAACGAATATGATGATTTTGAAAAATTTGATGGCATGTGTCGAACATGACTGTCATCTAATACAAGGAATTTCATTGAAAAGATAGAATAAATATTCTATCTTAGTATTAATTTTTTTTTATAATTGATTTCAAGTAATAGTAAAATTACGCGCGCAAAATAAACAAATAAATAAAATTGAATTTTTTATTCGATTAAAAAAATATCCAATATAGATATAGCCAATCGAGGACTAGCGCTTATAAATTATATTGTGTGATTATATTAGTTCATTAGTTGATATTAGTCGTACTTCGATGTAGATATAACATCAAAAATATTATTTAGTTAAAAAAAATGTTGTATATCATACATACACAGCATAAGATGATCACATATTTTTATTTACAATTGATGTTAAAATAAAAGCAAAATAACTTTAGAGAAATTGAAAAACTTGGTTCATAGATTATACAATCCGTATCGATCGTATCGTACTTAAAATATCAGATAATAACATCATTCTATTAATCTTCATAATTTATGCAAACTCTAGATAATCTATATATTTTTAATGAAAAATCTTTCTTTCAAAAATAAACGTTGAAACTGCTGTTATCATCATAAATCAAATCCACATCTATCTTTAGATATAAAAAAGTAGATCAAAAAATAACAGTATAGAATATAAGAATCATTGAATTTAAAAATAAATTCCTCAAAAATAGCAAATTATTGATTTATGCACTATAAAGTTTAATGGATTTGGTTTTATACGATACAAAACTATCGTCAATACCATAATTATTTAACTAAAATGTTACATACAAAAATTGAACCATTAGATATCATTACGACGTGTGAACTTAGATCAAGGGGGAATAGCTGGCACCGAGCACCGAAAAACACCTAACAGGTGCTGAGGTGCTCAACGGATGCTCAGGTGTGGGTGTGGGTGTGGGTGTGGGTGTGGGTGTGGATGTGGGTGTGGGTGTGGGTGTGGGTGTGGCTGTGGCTGTGGGTGTGGGTGTGGGTGTGGGTGTGGGTGTGGGTGTGGGTGTGGGTGTGGGTGTGAGTAGGTACGGGTGGTGTGGATGGGGTTGGTTGTAGATCTTTATTTCTTCTTCATCGGCATCTCATACATACCCACACCCACAGTAACCTTCACGGTCGAAAAATCGTCATTCGGTTCGTTGGTATACATCATGCCATAGGCTAAAACTCCAGTGAAATGTCCATAACTCTGGAAAGAAGGCTTATGACCACTTATTTTTCTACGGTTTTTCATACTCCATTGGGGTCTACCCTATGCACAGGGTCCAAACTAAAAAGCGATCCTACAGTGGGAATGTCCTCACGTAAGCTACACTTCGATTATGAAATATCATGGTCCTCAATACAATATATATACCTTATGAACAGTTTAATTTTGACATAAAATGCCATTTTTACGAATTTGGTCAATGCTCCCAGGACAGGTTTTAAAGATAAAACTGTGAAAATTATTTAATAGCGACAACTTTTAATGCTCTATCTCATGGCAGAATCAAAATTCCTAGAAAAGATACACGAAGACTAAATAATACTGGTTCTAAGGCCCGTTTTTTTGATAAAACCGACTTTTTAGCCTGTTTTGACGAAGTTAGCGCATGATGCAAAGCAAAACTAAGTATATATTCTCACGAAACTCGATGACAGCTGCAGCACTAAGATACTTAGATCGTGCCAGAAGAAAGTCGATGAAAATTTAGGAGGACCTGTGTAGAAGTACCTTAAAAAGTATAGGAGAGATTTTGGGTAGTTTTGTTGATGACGTTCATTTTCTAGTCTTTGTTGACGTTCTATCTTTTCTTACATAAGTCCTTCTCAAAGTGAGTGTGGGTGTGGGTGTAGATGGTCGTTGAAAACACCATCACGATATCTCAAAAAATTGGATGGTTGCATAAATTACAGGAACCCCGCTCCGATACTATCCACCCCTCAAGATGGCGATATTGGCTATGTTCTATGTCCCCTTAACACTATTAATTGATGAAAAGATCGACTTTCCCGACTTACAAAAGTTTTCTGAGCTCATAGCATTTAGTTTTGGTTGGCCACAATGTATTTTTTTTTTTCGGTGACATTAGGATTCTGACGTCGAGGTTATTAGGAGTCACGGAATGGAAATACATCTCAATAAAAGTTTACAGAAGATTAACAGACCTGTTTGCAACGAACTCACTTTATTTTTCCTTGTTTCTTAGCATCGAGTAGTGCTTGATATGCATCAGCACAATGGTGATCTTTCGGTGCATGAATCATGTATAAATCGACATAATTTGATTCGAGACTAGCAAAACATACAGAAATAAATAGGGTAAAAGTATGAACTACATACTTTTTCAGACATTGATCGAGACTTTTCATCGCTCCTTTTGCCCCTTCAGTCGATGGCCACCACTTTGAAATTACAAACACTTCTTCACGTTTTTTACCGCTCTGCTTAATTGCAACTCCAACACTATGTTCATTGTTGTAAAACTCAGCCGTATCAATCAGCAGATAGCCTTGCTGAAGCGCCGCGGCTATTAGATCGGAACCTATAATGAAAATGCAAGTGTTAGCCTCAAATAAGTTTCTTTTCGAAAAGAAAAACTCGTTGTAACGCATTCGAATGTTTATAAAAGATTTCGAATACACGAAAGAGTTTATCTTTATTACTATTCATGTCTACAATTATTGTCAATGCGATAAACACCAAGACCAAACATTGGCATAACAGTACCATCATTGAGTGTTACAGTCGATGCAAGAGCATTCGCGATCGTTATTGGTGTCATCTAGTATAGTAAGTTGAGAAAGAATGATGCAATTATACAAGTAATTGGTTACGAAACACTATTTAATAATCAGGTTTCGAAGCGATCTTGATGATGGGTGTTGTGTGTGGGTGGGTGTGGGTGTAGGTGTGGTTGTAAGCGTGAGTTTGAATGTGGTTAAAGGTGTGAGCTATACGTGTTGATATTGTATTCATTGGGCATTCACCCACCACAACACCCATCATCAAGATCGCTTCGAAACCTGATTATTAAATAGTGTTTCGTAACCAATTACTTGTATAATTGCATCATTCTTTCTCAACTTACTATACTAGATGACACCAATAACGATCGCGAATGCTCTTGCATCGACTGTAACACTCAATGATGGTACTGTTATGCCAATGTTTGGTCTTGGTGTTTATCGCATTGACAATAATTGTAGACATGAATAGTAATAAAGATAAACTCTTTCGTGTATTCGAAATCTTTTATAAACATTCGAATGCGTTACAACGAGTTTTTCTTTTCGAAAAGAAACTTATTTGAGGCTAACACTTGCATTTTCATTATAGGTTCCGATCTAATAGCCGCGGCGCTTCAGCAAGGCTATCTGCTGATTGATACGGCTGAGTTTTACAACAATGAACATAGTGTTGGAGTTGCAATTAAGCAGAGCGGTAAAAAACGTGAAGAAGTGTTTGTAATTTCAAAGTGGTGGCCATCGACTGAAGGGGCAAAAGGAGCGATGAAAAGTCTCGATCAATGTCTGAAAAAGTATGTAGTTCATACTTTTACCCTATTTATTTCTGTATGTTTTGCTAGTCTCGAATCAAATTATGTCGATTTATACATGATTCATGCACCGAAAGATCACCATTGTGCTGATGCATATCAAGCACTACTCGATGCTAAGAAACAAGGAAAAATAAAGTGAGTTCGTTGCAAACAGGTCTGTTAATCTTCTGTAAACTTTTATTGAGATGTATTTCCATTCCGTGACTCCTAATAACCTCGACGTCAGAATCCTAATGTCACCGAAAAAAAAAAATACATTGTGGCCAACCAAAACTAAATGCTATGAGCTCAGAAAACTTTTGTAAGTCGGGAAAGTCGATCTTTTCATCAATTAATAGTGTTAAGGGGACATAGAACATAGCCAATATCGCCATCTTGAGGGGTGGATAGTATCGGAGCGGGGTTCCTGTAATTTATGCAACCATCCAATTTTTTGAGATATCGTGATGGTGTTTTCAACGACCATCTACACCCACACCCACACTCACTTTGAGAAGGACTTATGTAAGAAAAGATAGAACGTCAACAAAGACTAGAAAATGAACGTCATCAACAAAACTACCCAAAATCTCTCCTATACTTTTTAAGGTACTTCTACACAGGTCCTCCTAAATTTTCATCGACTTTCTTCTGGCACGATCTAAGTATCTTAGTGCTGCAGCTGTCATCGAGTTTCGTGAGAATATATACTTAGTTTTGCTTTGCATCATGCGCTAACTTCGTCAAAACAGGCTAAAAAGTCGGTTTTATCAAAAAACGGGCCTTAGAACCAGTATTATTTAGTCTTCGTGTATCTTTTCTAGGAATTTTGATTCTGCCATGAGATAGAGCATTAAAAGTTGTCGCTATTAAATAATTTTCACAGTTTTATCTTTAAAACCTGTCCTGGGAGCATTGACCAAATTCGTAAAAATGGCATTTTATGTCAAAATTAAACTGTTCATAAGGTATATATATTGTATTGAGGACCATGATATTTCATAATCGAAGTGTAGCTTACGTGAGGACATTCCCACTGTAGGATCGCTTTTTAGTTTGGACCCTGTGCATAGGGTAGACCCCAATGGAGTATGAAAAACCGTAGAAAAATAAGTGGTCATAAGCCTTCTTTCCAGAGTTATGGACATTTCACTGGAGTTTTAGCCTATGGCATGATGTATACCAACGAACCGAATGACGATTTTTCGACCGTGAAGGTTACTGTGGGTGTGGGTATGTATGAGATGCCGATGAAGAAGAAATAAAGATCTACAACCAACCCCATCCACACCACCCGTACCTACTCACACCCACACCCATACTCAAATCCATATTTTTTGCTCTGCACTATTCATGAGTTGAATTGTAGATCACTAGGAGTAGCAAACTTTGGTGTACATCATCTGGAAGCACTTGCCAAATTGGGACTCGAGAAACCGTCTGTGAATCAGATTCAGATCCATCCATGGTATCAAAACAACGACATTGTCAGGTACTGTCGAGAACACAATATCACCGTTATAGGCTATTCTCCATTGGCTAAAGCGAAGAAAATTGATGAGACAACTATAGTTGCAATTGCAAAAAAGTAAGTTCAGCTTTCTTAGGATACAAAATGCTCGACGGTCTGTCACATTCATTTTCAGATTATCAAAAAGTCCGGCACAAATCCTGATACGATGGTCGGTTCAACATGGATACGTAACGATCCCTAAGACATCTCAAGAAGGTAGACTCAAAACGAATGCAGATGTATTTACTTGGTCCATTCCTGATGAAGACATGAAAACATTGGTAAGAAACGAGGAAAATACGACTTCTTGATTTTCTCTCACTTTCAAATTTACACGCAGGATGCTCTTGGAGATCAACAATGGTCGTGTACATGGGATCCGACTAAATACAGTCTTGAAGAAGCTGGCCTTCAAGTGATCACTATTCAACAATAGCTATAACTGTTGAAGAACAAAATTACAATTTGAGTCGACTCTCTATAATTTGATTTTTGGGTACTTTTCTTATAATGACTTGTTGTCCTCCATATATGTTTCTTTAAACTGATGTTTGTGAAGATGAAAATCCTGTATCTCTGTTTTTTCGAAGAACAATAAACGCTATATATAGACTAGCGGACTACCCTATCACCGATATGTCCAGCAGGAGATGAGAAGAACAAAGTGAGGAAAACTCCCATAGTATGTAGCAACACATATATGAACGACAGTAAAGGAAAAATCCATGAACGGTGTGAGTGGGTAGGTAGGTGTAGATGTGCATGTGGGCGCTGATGTTAATGAGGCATGAGTGTGGGTGGCTGTGGGTATCGATGAGTGTGGGTGGATGTCGTGTGTAGGTTCTATATACATTATACATGTTAGGTCAAGGAGGAAAAAGCGAGACTTCATCTACTTCAAAACTTTTTTGAAGTACGATGGGAGTACGGAAGTCTCGCTTTTTTCCCCTTGTGTTAGGTTCATATTAGAGGGTGTGGGTGTGGGTGTGGGTGTGGGTGTGGATGTGGGTACTTTAGTCATCCTACATTCACATCACCCACGCCTAGAGTCATTCTCCCTAATAACGACGCAAAAAAATACATCATCTTGTTTTAGTTGTCGTTCATCTATTTCAACTCCGATCTCTTATAATTATATATTTGGGGAATATTTCGATGACGCGCTTTCTAATGGTGTATTTTTCATTCAATTTCTTTCATGTTTTCATAGAGATATCCGCGGTATAAAATGAAGTAGGGTCCCCGTCGTTATTAGGGGTCATTTCCCTAATAACGACGCCCAGCTAATTTTCATCCCTAATAACGACGTTCCAGCAAAAGTTATGCTAAAATATAAACTTTTCAGAAAAACATTTTTTCGCGAATTTCTATCCAGGAAATCACCCTAAGTATCACTGGCAACTTTGAAGATCGTCTCAAATACTATCTATATCTAGCGGTTCATGATGACTTAATAATGTAATAAGAGATTTCTACGATGACCAAAGATCATGTCGAGGGTGTCGGAAAAAAAATTCTCCCTAATAACGACGTCCAGCTAAATTTTCTCCTTAATAACGACGTCCAGC